GTCAGAGATGGGGTACATTTCTTATTTCACTACCTTTCTCTGACCTCTTATGCCCAAGCTTTCAGTGAATATATGTTCTAAATTAGTGGCCAGTATGGTGCCATCTCCTCCATAGCCATATGCACAACCAAGACCTCCTTTCACCAGGACACCTAACAATCCATATGAGAAATTTTTGCTTTTCAGCTGCACAATCTGGGCTTGTTGGATTTTAGAAGTTCTAGTGCCCAAGGAAAGAACCCATCCATCAAGGAAGACAGCCTTGGTTTTGTTTAAATTTGAAGCTGAGACTGACTTCTGGCTGATTTGAGCTTCTTCTAATACTGAACCATTAGGCAGAGGGTGGTGGTAATTGTACTTTTGGTAGTGATTGATTCTGATTGAGAAGTGAAAGCAGTCTGCTGCTTCTTTCTGAGGGAAATGGAGGCTAAATCTATATTGAGACTCACTGGGACGTCACATAATATTCCCATGTCCTACAATATTAATGGTCAATGGAAAATTGTCGTGACTCAATAAAGACAGGACCCCTAAGGACTTGGGCATTATAAAAATGAAGTTATGGGTCACTTCACCAGGTTAAAAAAATCTTGACCAGCTGAGGTTCTGGGCGAGGGTAAGGAATCATAGAAAAGGTGGTGGGAGAAGGAAACTATGATGGTCAACTGTGAAAGGCATCTCAGAGACAGAAGCACTTAGGAAAGAAAAGAAGTTTCCTTGCCAAGAAGTTGCAAAGGAATCGGATTTTGGAAGGACAGGTTTGTAAAACAAAAACCACAACAGGTATTGAAAGGGAAATTCTGAAAGATTACTATTGCTAACAAGTTTTTATCAGTCTACTCATGACAGCAAAACCTAGCACTTTTCTCACACGATTTTCATATCTACAAAGGGTCATGACATATCCAGGCATCAGTATTGTGAAAGTCAGAGACAGGGTTATTTTTCTAGGGAATCAGCAATTTATAGGAAATGCTCAATATTTAACTTATTCTGGGGACTAGAAGGAGAACTATTTTTCTGTGTGTGTGAAATCCACATGCAATTTATCAGCAGATCCTATTCATGCCTATCTTCACAATATATCCAGAATTGGAACTCTTCTCACCACCCCCATGCACCCACCATCTCATCTCTCATCTGAACAGGACAGCAGTTCCTAACCTGGACTCTCTGATTCCATACTTGTTCCTCTGCATGAAATTCACAACACAGAAGCACACTGTTACAGTTAACATGTAAGTCAGGTTATGCCATTCCTCTGCTCCAACCCTTCCAGTCTGCCCCTCTGACTTGGAGCAAAAACAAATCCTTCATACCAGCCTGCAAGGTCCTAAGGAATTGGTACCCCATGTTTTGTTCTGTGACTCATCTGCTCTTCTCCTCTCTAGCTTACTTCTCTATAAAATCTCTGGCCACTCTGGCAAAGGGAGGCTCCTCATACCCACCAGACATTCTCCCACCTCTGCCCTCTGCCTGGAGCACTCTTCCTCCCAGAGCTCCTAGTGACTTGCTTTCTTACCCCCTTCAAGTTTTGCTCAGCTATCACCTTTTGTGGGCCGTTTTTGGCACTCTATTCCCAAGGAACTATTAAAAATTGACCCTATCTCACATCCCTGCTATTTTCCCCCCTAGCACTGTCACCATGTGACTTCTTTTTATTTGATTCATTTTTTTCTTTCTTGGCACATCCAGAATGCAGAAACACTTATTTTGTTCATTGATCACCCATTAGAATATAAGCTCTATGAGGGCAGGGCCTTTTTGTCTGTTTGTTCACTTCTGAATTGTACTGTTTGTGAAGGAGAGTGCCTGGCATGCTGTAGACATTCAAAAGTACTTGTTGAACAGATTAATCAATTCATGTATGAGTGAATGGAGAAACAGGCTGTTTTTTTTTCATGGAAAGTTCAACAATGTAGACATGTGAATACAATACAATACTTAGGTAGACACAGAGATGAGCTACCCAGATATCCCTTCTAGGAAGGACTTTGTGTACCACTGTGGGAAGTGTAACCTCAGGCAGTCAGTTCCCTTGAGCTCGTGCCCCTGCTGGGTTCACTGGCATTTAGTGACAGTGAGATGGGGATGTAAAGGCCCCCCACATGTCAGCCCAATGGGGGACAGCTCCCGAGGGGGCAGTACTGTTTGAACTCCTAGAATTCCCTGTTGGGTTGGCTGAAGCTTTGTCTCCCTGGCTGTTCTGCTTCCCCCTCTGTCCAGCACTGTCTCTTCCCCCTTCCTTTTCCTAGGTGTTGATCCTTAATAAGTTGCTTGCACCTCAAATTTGGTCTCAACCTTGGCTTCCAAAAACCCAACCTGCAACATATATTAATCAAAGTACCAAATAACAAATCAATCACATATTAATTTGGGTTTAACCAACAAATAATAAATAAAAACAAAACATGAAAACAAAACTGGAAACAATCTAAATGTCTGCCAATAGGGCAATACTTAATAAAGAGATTATGATAGGTATGATGAAATGAGGTGCAAGTGAATAAAGTACATTTTGTGAACTGATGGGGAGAAATGGTCCTGATACATTTTCTGTGTACACAGAAAATATAATCTAAAATGTATTTACTCTCCTCCACCTTTTAAGACTGTTCCCTTCCTATTGAAAGGGGCATGTGCATGGATTCAGGGCAGCCTTCCTAGGGATTGGCAGGGCTCACCAGATGAAATCGAATCTTGTCCATGAAGATAGCATGTGTGTGGAGAGCCTGGCCAGGGTGTTGGACTCCCTCCATTAGGAGCCAAGCCGTGTGATCTGAGCCTTAGTCCATTATTCAAAATGTCTCTGAAGGTGTTTCTCAGAATCAAATGGTTATATAAGGTGTCTGGCACAATCCCCATCACAGATTATGTGCTCAATAAAAGTCTGCTCTTTTCCTGGCTCCTCTCCTTCCATCCCGGCCAAAAAATTCTATTCTCTGTCACCCCTTTTCCTTCTTTTGAGTAGAGTAAGGCGAGTGAGGCCAGAGCTGGGGCACTTAATGGCTGAGGCCCCAGAGGCTGCTCAGATGCCAGGGATTTGGTCCAGGATTGAGCAAGAGTGGAGAATGGGCTCCTCTGGGCCTGGGGGTGTGGTGATGGAGACACCAACAATTCTGGGAAACTCAGAGACAGGAAGTGAAAGGCATTGTAGGGTAGAGGAAAAGCAGCAGAATGCTCCTCTAGCCCCTTTCTGGTTCAGCCCCACTCCCAGATGGTAAAAATGAGGAAGTCAGGGGAACTCCAGAAAAGGGAAAGGGAGTAGACACATTTTGGAGAAGGGGAGCAGAATGGACCACATGTCCAACTCCCACGGCATGTGCAGTCTCTGCGTGTGTTCCAATTTCAATTCATTCTCATTATTTTATTTATTATGCAAAGCTGAGGAAATGAGATGCCACAGATTATAGACTCCTGGGCTATCAGACACCAGACCTACAGTATTATGGTCACGTGTGTGGTTCCTCTTTCTGTTGGTCCTACCTCAACTCTCCAGGACTCAGTTCTTCCAACTCTGACTCCTCAACTCTGGTCATTGCTGCACAACTAACGCAAGAATCACAATCTCCAGACTTCCTACAGGTAACTGGGCTGGGGGTGCCTTGTGTTAGAGGAAGAAAGGAGAAGGGGACTTTAGGTCTTGGGTAAGGATAAATAGGAATAAATATAAGGGGACGGTTTGGGATTTAATTACCAAGTGGAGACTTGAGACTCTAATCCCTTCGCTGAATTCTAGATTGAATGATGGAAGCCATAATCTCCAGTCATAAACTAAACTCAAACTTGGCCCCATTGATAGTTCGATTCCAGCTTTATCTCTAACCTCAACTCCAGTCATGCCCTAACCCCAACACTAACTCCAGCTCCTACTTTAACTGCAACCCCAGATTCAACTTGAATCTTTTTTTTTTTTTTTTTTTTTTTTTTTACATCTCCAATATTTCATGTTGATTGGGACAACAATTTCAGGAAGATATATGCACAATATTAACATAGGTAAATTATAAAAGGGCACATGTCAGCATTCAATCTCAAGATGATTATTTCTATAGATACAAATATGTAGTGAACACATAATTTCTGAATGGAAAAGATGCATAGAAACTTCAAATGATTATTACTTTTGATGATAAAGAGTGATGGTGAGACCAGAACAATGATTTAAAGCTCAAAATATATATCTTAGAATACATTTCATTTCCTTGCATAAAAGAGAGGAGTGGGGTAAGAAAGATGGAAAGACAGGGATAGGAATAGAACAAAGGATGTACTGTGTAAGCTGTTTAAGCCTACCACAAAATGCTGGGAAGGTGGCCATGCTTTGTCTCTTTCAAACTTCTGAAGAGTTCTGATGTAGAAATTGGATGAGAAGTCTTCTATCCATGGTAGACATCCACATCAACTTTTTTTTTTTTTTTTAATAATTAATCAGTATTTTTATTATAGTTTTGTGGGGTACAGTTAAGGGTTAGGTGTACAATTACGTTTCATTCAGACACCCTGTTGATAAGAGGTGTTTTCAACTTGAATCTTAACACTAACCTCAACCCAAAGTTGAACTTCAACTCTGTTTTATTTCTAAATTCAGTGCCAAACTTAGGTCCTTTTCTATCCATGGCTCCAACATGAGTGTTGACCCCAGTCCTAGCATGAGATACAACCTCAAGTCCAGCCCCAATGTTAGATCCAGTCCTGGAGATACATTTAACTCCAACTTTACCTCCAGTTTCAACCCCAAACTCAACTCAACCTAGGCCTGAAGCCCAGACCTGATCCCATTTCTAACATCAGCTGCAAACCCAGGCCCATTTCCCTCCTAGCCCTAACCCTGGGCTCATTTTCAATCCGAGCCTCTCCTTGCACCTCAATGCCAACCCTGACCTAGGCTCCAACCTAGTCTCAGCCTCCTCCTTTGCCCTGGCTCTTCTTCAGCCTGGCCTTGACCCTGCCTTACTTTTCAGCTCTGACAGCCTTAGACATCTCTTGTTGACCCAAGTATGGCAACGAAGTATGAAAACTTCCAGCACTTGGAAAATGAGGAGAAAATCCAGGGAATTAGAAATGGTAAGAAGGAGAAACACTCTCCTCAAATGCCCTCTTAATATGTTTAGGATTTCTCCTGTCATGTTCTGTCTGCCTCTCTGTGCTGGTGGGTCCCCCAATCTGAGGGTGTCAGGCCCCAGTCTCTGGGGGCCTAATGTGAAGAGGACTTCAGATCCTCAGAAAGACTGGGACAGGGAGGGCCACAGTGAACCTGGCCTCCTAATCTCTGTGGGGCGAGGATGAGAGCTGTTCATTGGTGGAGGGGAAGATAAGGAAACTCATTTATGAACCTGATGGTGCAGATGAGTGGAAGCCTGCAAAGGGCCTGACTGTCCCCAGCTCCTTCTGTGTCCTCCTACCCCCTCCAGCTCTGACTTCACATATCACCATCGTCCCCTGTGTGTTGGTATCTATGGGTCACCGGGAGTGTGAGGGACTCACGTGGCCGAGGACTTGTGCTGACTCCTGAGGACAAAGGCCTTGGCATCCCCACCCCGCAATCTTCCTCATTCAGCCCTGCCCCAGCATTCCCTGTGCCCAGCCCTCATCCCTAGACAGGTCCTTGGGCCCTCTCCTTCTTCCATGTCTGTCTTGTCTTGAATACTCCTCATCCTGACAGCTTCTCCTCTTGCAGGGTTGCTTCCAATCCAGTCCCTCCTGCAACGTCTCTGCTCCAAGCCCTACCTCCTCCTGCTCTCCTTGGGCCTCAGCATCCTGCTGCTGATTGTCATCTGTGTGGTCGGATCCCAAAGTGAGAATCATGGGTGGGCAGGGAAGAGGGAAATAATGGGGTGCAATGAGAGGGTGGTGATGAGGGCAGTTATGGGCATCAGGAGCAATGATGGGCACAGTGCTTGGGGCAGTTTTGGAGATAACAATGAGTCACGACAATGGCAGTGCTAGCCTCAGCCTAGGGGCTGTAATGGGGCCACTGGTGCACTGAAGGTGGCATCAGTGGGGTAATTGATCAGAACAGTGGTGGGATCCTTGAGGAAACAGTGATGGGCCCATAATCAGGATGGTTGCTGGCTCTGTTGCTGATTAGTTCGGTCTCACATATGTTATGCAGTCAAATGACTTTACCTGTCTGAGCCTCAGTTTCCTCATCTGCTATGCTGAAGAGCAATAGCACCTGCCCCACTGGGCTGCTGTGAGGATCCAAGTTGACAATACATGTGAAGTGTCCTGATAAAACTCAGCTCCAGTTGGGCTCGGTGGCTCAGCCTGTAATCCTGCGTCTTTGGGAGGCTGAGGGGAGTGGATAGCCTGAGCCCGTGGGTTTGAGACCCGTCTGGGCAGCGAGACCTCATCTCTACAATAAATCAAAAAATCAGCCGGGCGTGGTAGCACATGCCTGTAATTCCGGCTACTCGGAAGGCTGAGGCGGAAGGATCGCCAGAGCCTGGCAGGTCGAGGCTGCGGTGGCCGGGAGCAGCCACTGCACTCCAGTCTGGGCAACAGAGTGAGACTCCAACTCAGCTCCAATCGTCATATCCACCTGTCTAGATTCCAAGGTTCAGAGGGACGTGGCGACCCTGAGGAGAACTTTCAGCAACTTCACCTCAGACACTGTGACTGAGATCCAGGCTCTGAATTCCCAGGGTGAGCCTGACTTGGACAGGGTTCTGGGCTGGGGCCACGTGGGGGAGAGGGGAGCTGACCCTTGAGCCCCATCATCTCCAGGCAGCAGCTTTCAGGAAATGATAACATCTCTGAAAGGTGAGGTGGAGGATCACAAGCAGAAACTGCAGGCAGGTAAGAGAACTTCCTAGATGGTGGGGGTAGGAGGAGGGCTGGGCTCTCCGACAAAGGTGGGGGTGGGAGTAGCCTCCCGATGCTGAACTGCCCTCCCCTTCAGCTCATGGCTTGAAAGACAACGTACTTTCTCTGGAAAGCAGGCTGGAGAAACAGGAGCAGGAACTCAAAGCAGGTCTGAAGGCTGCTCCCCACTCCTGGGCATGATGTGTGTGGGAGGGCAGGAAGGTTCCTGGACTGGGTCCTGTGCAGGGGCATCTGAGCTTTGAGGACACACTAAACAGAAGCCCCTCCCAGGGCACTGTGCCCACTGCCCATCTGTGTGTCCCAGCTCATTCCCAAATGCTCCTGCGAGTCCAGCAGTTGGTGAAAGACCTGAACTCCCTGACTTGCCAGATGGTTGTTCTCAAGAACAATGGTGAGGAGGGTGTGGGGAGTACCTGGCTCCACTTTTCTGCCCACAGCCCACTGGGTCACACCCAAGCCCTTCCACCCCCTTTCTCCCTTTCAGGCTCCGAAAAGACCTGCTGCCCCGTCAACTGGGTAGAGCATGCGGGCAGCTGCTACTGGTTCTCTCAGTCCGGGGAGACCTGGCCTGAGGCTGAGAAGTACTGCCAGCTGGAGAACGCTCACCTGGTGGTCATCAATTCCAGGGAGGAGCAGGTGAGGGCATCTTGTATTCAGTTCCCAAGATGTGTCCCATTCAGGGAAATGGTTCTCAAACTTGGCTGCCCATTGGAACAACCCAGGAGCTTTAGCGATGACTGCCATCCGAGGAGAGATTTAATTGGCCTGGCATTGGGATAAATAACCCCAAACTTCTCAGTTGATCTAATGAAGAGCTAAAGTTTAGAACTGTTAGTCTAAGGAGTGGCTGGGATGAGGAGAAGTCACCATTGCCCTTCTGCCACCCCAGAATTTTGTCCAGGGACGTCTAGGATCCTCATACACTTGGATGGGCCTCAGTGACCCTGAAGGAGTCTGGAAATGGGTGGATGGGACGGACTATGAGAATAACTTCAAGTGAGTGCACCCTGGATTTCTGTGCCCAATGTCCCCCATCAGCTCTGTCCCCCTGGGGTCTGACCAGCAGCCCCTCCTCCCCCGACCTGAAATCTACTCCATCTACCCGTCTTATCTTGCTGTTGTCCTCTCCCCTCAGGAACTGGAAACCAGGCCAGCCAGATGACTGGCATGGGCATGGGCTGGGCGGAGGCGAGGACTGTGCCCACTTCCACCCTGACGGCAGGTGGAATGACGATGTCTGCCAGAGGCCCTACCGCTGGATCTGCGAGGCAGGCCTGAGCCAGGCCAGGGAAAGTCACTGAGCTGCCTCCAGATAGACCACTCAGCCATGAAAATATCAGTGGCGAAGGGGATTTTTCCCTAGACACTTCCTAGCAAGACCTCTCTGGGAGTGGAATAAGCCCTGGGAGATTGGAAGCACAGCTATCATTTTTTTTTTCTCCTTAACTTTAAAAAGACAAGATAGAGCTTCTAAAGGTTTTTTTTTTTCAACTTTAAAAATAAACTTTATTAGCTGGGCTCAGTGGCTCAGCCTGTAATCCCGCACCTTTGGGAGGCTGAGGTGAGTGGATTGCCTGAGCCCGCGGGTTCAAGACCTGCCTGGGCAGCAAGACCTCATCTCTACAATAAATAAAAATCAGCTGGGCATGGTAGCGCATGCCTGTAATTCTGGCTCTTGGAAGGCTGAGGCGGAAGGGTTGCCGGAGCCCAGCAGGTCGAGGCTGCGGTGGCCAGGAGCGGCCACTGCACTCCAGTCTGGGCGACAGACTGAGACTCCAACTCAAAAAAACCCCAAAAAACAAGCAAACAAAAAAAACTTTATTGAGGTGTAATTTTTACATAATAAAATGCACCCATTTAAAAAGTAGAGATGATTTTTGACAAATATAAATGCCTAGGTAACCACCACTTCTATCCTGATAAAGAACATTGCCATCACCCCCACAAGTCCCCTCATGCCCTTTGCAGTCTAACCCCCTCCCTGTCCCCAGGCAAATAATGTTCTACTTTCTTTTACTATTGACTGGTTTTGCCTATTCTAGAATTTCATATACATGAACTAATATAGTGAAATAATATAGTATATACTATTTTGTGAGACCTTAGATGTTTTATGTCACTTGATTTTTGGCAATATAAAAATGGCAGATGGGAAAAGCTAGGTAAGTAAGGCCTTGGAAAGCCCTATGTTTTTTGAAAAGAGCATTTTCTTCTCATATACATTTGAGTTCATATATTTTCTTTCATTTAATCATTGTGTAAACTTGGGGTCATTAGGAAATGCAATTGTTTAATTTATTTCAGAGATCCCAGAGTTGTTGGGAGAAGTAGGTAAGATCTCTATGTGTATTGATTAGCTGCAGTTATATAACAAACCACCCCAAAGTTCATTGCTTATACAATCAGCATTTATTGTAGCTCATGAGTCTATAGATCTGATCTGGTCAGGTTTGACTCATCTTGTCTGGCTCCTTCATGAGTCTGTGGTCAGTTGGGATTGGCTGGTCTGAGGTAGCCTTGATCCCATGTCTGACATTTGGCTGGCTATGGAATGGGACAGTGGGGATGACTGGGCCACACTACGCTAACCTGAATTTGTTTATAGAGTGGCTGAGCAGGGTTTCAAGAGATTAATTGGTAGAGTGCAAGGACTCCGGAGTCAGGTTTGGAACTGAAGCATCATTTCTGCTGCATCCTATTGGTCAAAGCAAAGAACAAGGCATCTCAGATTCAAGGACCAGAGAAATAGATTCCACCTTTTGATGGGAGGAACTACAATATATCATATTATGTAACTAATGGCTATAGAGAGGGGTGGAGATTGCAATTTTTTGTTTCAATCATTCTATCATACTACGGGGAAGCAGTTCAGCTATAATATTAAAAACCAACTCATACGTAAGTTCTTTAAGAGAGGGCAGGACCCATTCATTGTTGAATTATCTGTACCCTGAAAACCACCTGGCATATAGGAGGGTCTCAATTAGTGTTGATTAAAAATAAAGGGAATGAGGTCAGAGGAAAGGTATGGGAAGGGCAGAATTTAGCTTCTGGAGGGTAGCACCCCTCACTTCTCCTTGTCCACCAACATCACTGGAAAATCATCAGGCTGAAACAGAGAGAGACCTTGGCGGGAAGTGCTCAAGAACCAATGAGGGCTGGAGGACACTGCCTGGTGTGAGAGATTTCACAAGCAATGGTGGCACATGGGTGGCTCTGTGGGCACCAACTACTGGAATTCAGTACAACCAAAGTGCACAAGGCACAAAAGTCCTTAGGTGGTCTCAGGTCTGCCAAGGGTACCACAACAGCATCAAACCAATAACCTGGGGTTGGGGTTGAGCTGAGGGCTTGTAAAAAGAAGAAAGAATATCAGGAAAGCTTCTTGGCCTGAAGATCTGACACCATTAGGTAATCAAGAGAAGCCGACCCCCCAAGAGAAGATATCACTGCCTCTGCTCAGGCTGCGCCCCCATGGGCTCATTTCAAGTTGCTCTCATTGGCTCTTTAAAGTGGGTGGTTGCTGGTGAGCGTAGCATGGGGCCCACTGGTGGAGACGATCACTGTGCCAGAGAGGTGTGGAAGGGTGGTGGGTAGCCAGAGGTTTGATGTCTAGTGTTCTAAATATTATCTGTATACTTTTATTTTATATCTTTTGTATTCCTTTACCTTATGCATTGTACATTTCAAGATCTGTTTAAGATTTCTGTAACTCATGAATGAGTGAGCCACAGAATGGTAAACCTAGTTCAAAAGGGTATGGGGAGACAGAAGTGTTTTTAGTGATGGAAATGAAGAATGTGGGAATAAGATTGCTAAATTAGAGGCAAAACTGGTGAGAGCCTGAAAGTGCTTCCGGCAATTAACAAGTTCACCCTGGCCTTGGATGTCAAGCAGCTTCTCCCCTGCTTGAGCTGGCTCACAAGTACAGGCCAGAGTGAAGGAAGAAGCAGAGACTGTTGGTCTGGGTGGAGAAGAAAACTGCTGGCAAAGAGGATGTCGTACGAAGAAACTGCCTGTCGTTTGAGCAGGGGTTAACACTGTCACCACCTTGCTAAAGAACAAGAAGTCTCAGCTGGTGGTGACTACACAGGACCTGAATCCCATCAAGCTGGGCTGGCTGTCTTCCTGCCTGTCCTGTGTTGTAAAGTGGGGGTCCCGTACTCCATTTTCAGGGGAAAGGTATGACTGGGACATCTAGTTCTCTGGAAGACCTACACCACTGTTGCTTTCACACAGGTTAACTTGGAAGACAAACTCTGGCTAAGCTGATGAAAGCCATCAGAACCAATTGCAAGACAGAAATGATGAAATCTACTGTCATTAGGGAGGCAGTGTCCTGGGTCCAAAATCTGTGGCTCATGCTGTCAAGTTGGAAATGGCAAAAGCTAAATAACTTGCCACTAAATTGGATTAAATGTGTACTGTTGAGCTTTCTGTACATAAAAATAACAAAAATTCTCCTTTAAAAAAAAAGACACAGATATTTCCCTAAAAAATAAACTTAAATTTTTATTTCAGCAGAGGAAATATGACCCTCTGTGTTTTGAGGTCATTAAATGTTTGCAATAAAAATACGATTAATCATTTCGTGTACTTAAATGATGTGTTTGTTGAAGGATTTAGCACCTTCCTTGAACAACAAAATATTGCTTAACTGAGAACAGTCCTCTTCTTAAGAGACATTGGAGTATCTTTATTTTGCTTCTAAACAGTAAGAAAAACAACTCCAGTTGTTAGATCAAAAAGTGTTATTGTAAATTGAGCTGAATTTTAAAGAACTAGTTTTAGATTTTAGGTATGTAGGTTGTCCTCCCCCGCCCCATGAAATCAGGAAGTGTGACCCTGTTGTGGACAGGATCAGGGGACAGCATAGTCACTCTGGGCAAGAAAGAGGGAGCAAGGAGGGAAGGACAGCAACACCCACACCCAAGTTCAGAGCTACCTTCCACCCCAGTAATTCCTCTACAGAAAAACAAACCACTGAAAATACAATCAAAGCTCACCTGATGGCTAAGGCTCTGCCTTGTAATAATAGAATGCAGATCGCTATGACCATGGGAGCTTAAATTGGAGGAATTTATCCAGAGGAAAGGAGGAATTTCCTCCACTGAGTGGCCTAGAAACTGCAGAGAAAAACAAAGAGGGGGAGGGGTCAAGTTGCTTCAAAGTAGCCATGGGGTGTTGTGGTGGGCCAGAGGGATCAGGCCCTAAAAGGAGAAAGGTGGACAAATGTCATTGCTGATATTACAGATGGTGCAGCTATAAAAGCAATTATATCGTTTTACACTGGCCTTCTTTGTTGGCTCTAGAATCTTGCAAAAGAGGAATTTAATCAATCAAATATGGATTCCAAAATAGGAATTCAGTAGTACAAATCCTGCTGGATGCATTCCTCACTTATGGGATTTTACTATAAAATAATACTAATTTGTTTGGACAGTACAGATTTTTAAAGATGACCATATACTTTATGTGCACCTATTCTGGAAGGGATACAGAGTTTATGAGCGCAGATTCTGATGACCAGCATGAAGATTTGTTTTGTGGACAAGCACAGCCTGCCATTTGGAGACTGCTTCTGTATTTGTACACAAGTATATTGTTCTTTCTGTGATTTTTACCCCCAATAACCCTCCCTCCCCCCAAAAACAAGTAATTGCACTCTTACTGTCATAATAGTGATATTTGACCTTTTGGGCTCTTGAATGAAGTGATACTTTGCAGCCAAGGGAGGTTAGTCTTAATGTTTCTGATCATAAATGTTCAGAATGGGATGCAAGAACTATACTATCCACAATGTCCTCCCCACCCTTCCTGAGAGATGCATACCTGGCTCTTCTCCACCTGCCCAAGGCTCTCTTGGCATCTGTGGTACATCCCTCCCACTGTGGAGGTCTGCCTATGGCTTCTGCCTCCCCAAGTCACCTTGAGGCCCTCTTGTGTAACCAACAGTCAAAGCAGCTCTGACGGTGAAGCGGCCTCTGCTCTGATCAAGGTTGAGATTCTATGTCTATGATCTGGCCAGGCTGCCCTTGATCATGTATCTGAGCCTTTAACAGTTGCCTGTTTTGAGCCATTGGATTAGAGAGACAGGCCTATGTGTTGTCACTTTATTAATAAGGGTGTACTTCCTACATATCCTGAATTTGCTGGGTTAGAGAGGAGAGATGCTCCAATGATTTGCTTGGCTGACAAACTGAAATCTGGTGGCCTCAGTAGTGGTCTCTGCTGATTGAGGTTGAGATGATACCAAACTTCCCTGGCATAATGTAGAAAAAAACAATCCAAAGGCTGGACC